GGAGCTTGCTGGTCCAGCTGGGAATTAAACCTAAATCCTCATCTCCAGGCTGAGCTCTCTCATCTCCTGCTGTGCCTGTTTTTCAAGGAAAAGGCACCACGACCTCCTTTTTTGATGGAAACATATGGAAATATGTGGTTGGCCATGGGATACACGAGTCAGCCCACTCTGTGAATTGTTTTCCATCCTGATCTTTGGACCTGAACCTGTGGATGAGCCCCATTCCCTAAATGATCTTTCAGCTGCACTGCTACGTTCCTGCTCTTAAATATTGTGGAGTTGTTTGGTTTTCTTTGATTTGTTTTCAACCTAGATTTTGCTGCTTTCTTTCAGAAGGACTGTAGGAAACCAACTGGAAAATAAGAACCAAATATTTCCCTGAATTTGAGCTTAAATCTCTTTGTGTTTGCACAGCAGACAGGCAGCTCGCTGTATTTTGGTGTCAGATTTGTTATTACAGATCAGATCAATTGTCTGGCTGCAGTAGCAAATTCCCCCCCTTGTAATGCACTTAGTCAGTTGTGAAATCATGGACTCGGTGGTGGGAAAACCAGAAATTTCTCCATAACCCCTCCAAGCAATCAATTTATGCCCTGAAGCATGAGATTTGATTACCATTGTTATTATCTTAGCTTGCATAGTTACAAATGTTATTAGTAGTCATAAAGTTACCCAGCCTTAAAAAAAAATCAGATTAGGGAAAAAAAAAAGTCCCAACATTTCACTCCAGCTTCTTCCAAGCCTGAATTCCTGGGACTGCTTTGAACTGTGAAAAGTGGTAGTTCCTTCAGTTCTCTTTAAATTAGATCACGTGGATTTCTCCTGGACTCTCATTAGGAAGGGATAAATGAGAATTTTCTGGCATGTCTGGAGTTTCTCTCTGGTCAGGACCCATCCAGCTTTCAGCATTTCAAAGCTAAGTGTTGATGAGGAGTGTTTACAATCAGATCACTCAGATCTGTGTTTAATAAACCATTAGCAGGATGTGCATCACCTTGTCTCTGTGTTTTTCCCTTAATGGTCCAAATCTCCTGTGAACTCCAAGCTCCCAAAACAGCTCAGTGCTTCTCAAGCTGCATCTCAGCTGGTATAACTTCAATACTCTAAAAATTCAAAAGTTAAGGAAAATACTGCTAAATGTTGCAGCAGGGCATCCTTTCAAAATTTACATGGCATCATGTCAATTATTTTAGCCACTTAATTTGTCCAGGACCAAACTAGATTCCCAGAAGCTTTATTTTTTAGTCCATATCAAATTGTGGTTCTTTATATTCAAATACATTCCCCTTTTTGCATATTTACCTATTCAGAAAATTACAGCATCTTTATTGACGAGCTCTGCTGATGGGATATGTGCTGGCAATTACAAGCAATTTAATTTCCTCCACAGAAAATCTGGCCAATCTGTTCTTTTGTCCTGAGTATTTCACGTGTCTTAAATGGCATTTAGAGCAGGATTGGGAATCTTCTGAGCCTGCCACCAGACTCTGGAACTGGGTTTAAGATGGTCTTGAGGGAGAACATTCAGGGAATCAGGTAACAAGTTACAGCTGGGATTGGCAAAACCCACCTGCTGTTCCTTCTGACTCCTTCAGACAGTGCCTGAGGTAAATATTCTGAGGGGGTTCTCTAGCACTTGATTTCAGACAATATTATGCATTTAGCATGTATTTTAAATATGTGATCAGTACCAACCTAGAGAGAATTAATTTTTTTTCCAGTGTTTCCAGCAGTGTTGCTCTCTCATTCTCACATCAAGCAGAGGGTCTGATGAAAAGGCCCCTTGATTTTCAGCAGGAAATCCCAAAATAAAGAACAGTTTTGTGAGACACAGAGAGGACCACACTGAGCTTCTCTGTCTTTATTTTTGTTTGGTGAAGACTTAAGTGCCACGACATTTGCCCCATTTCATAGCCCAGTGAAATGTGAGGCACGATTGATTATGTCTATTTACACTTTACTTAAGGCAAACCCTATTCTCAAATAGATTTAGCTAGTGCCATGTTATTATCATTATTAACAGGAACACATTTTATTTTATTTTGCAACTGTGGAGCAGCACGGGGGAAGCTGCTGTACTTGGGCTTTGCCATCAGCTGGCTTCCTAGCAGAATAAAAACTTTGTGCGTGTTTCTGTGTGAAAAATTAAAACCATTTGATGCTTTCCATAGTGTGGCCTCAAACCTGAACATGGGGGAAGACCTTGGGGAAATCCCATTGGCAGGGAGGATCTAAAGCCAGCTGAGCAGGGAGATGAAGGTCTAAGGGGAGGCTGCATTTTGCAAGCCTGCAGGTCATTAAATTGGTGCCTCTCTTCTTTCTGCCAGAGCCCTGCAAAAATCAACCTGGAAACTCCTGAGGTATCCCAGGTGGAGCCCAGCATTGGTGGGGCAGTGTTTGGACTCAGGTTTTTGTTATTTCTTATCTATATTACAGTCTTACAAGCTGTGAGTTCTGCACTTCACTCACAAGCTACAAAATGGCCTCATATCTCTCTCTACAAGGTCTTTTAAGGAAAATCTTTCTAATTAAGAAATGACACACAAATTATTTTTACTTTTAATTCAATAATTGATCACCCATGCCGCACAATGTGGACTTTTCTGTCCAGTTACAAAATACTACCCAAACCCATGAAGAAGAAGGTGAAGAAGGACCAGCCACCACCCTAAAACCTCCATTTTAGCTCCATATATATTGCTGTATTTTAAAACCTTAAACTCTAAGTTTTCTACCATATGATATTACACACTTGTATTTGAACTACATACCTGTAATCCCAGTCCTATTAATCAATTCTGGAAGCTTCTCCATGGCCTCAAGTCAAATGTAATATTCTCTTGAGGGTTTCTGTGCCTTTCAACACAGTCTAAAAATCTCAGCAGCCAGGGTTCCAACAGGGTGAGAGTCACTGGCTCCACTTTCCATCCTCCTGGCAGTGGCACGAGGGACAATGCCAGCTCTCCCTGGCTTTCCCAGCTCTCTTATCTCTGTCTCCAGACAAGCAGCTTCCCACCCTTGGCATTTGAGTTATTGCCAAGGCTCCAGTGAATCTCCAAACCTCTGGATTGGAGTGAATCTCTGCTGGCTCGTGGGTACTGGGTCAAATGGCTTTTCAATCCACGGGCAGCCCTCAGACATTCCCCTGGAGCTGCCTCCTTGTCCATTTATTTCCCGAGTTTCCGCTCACAGGGCACAGGTCTGTTGCTTAGCTGTTGGTTGCTTTGGAAAGCAATGTGCTGTAAATATAACATTTTACTGTCTTGGGATGGAACAGTGGCTCAATTCAGGATCTGGCGTGGAAGGCAGGATCCAAAGGGAGGATTCCCAGTCCTCTGGTGTGCTCTGGGCTGGGTGTTTGCCACACGGAAATCTGCCCAACTGCAGAGCTTCCTCAGCAGCTTTCCATGCTCTGCTCCATGCATTTATACTGGTGCTGGTTCACTCATGCATGGTTGAATATAAAAATGCTATCTATTAATTGCCTGACTTTGCATAACTGCAAACTTATCGTTGTTTGAACTGTTTTTCATTTACTTAACAAATACATTAAACTGTTCTGCCCTTTTCCCTTCTACTTTTCAGATATTTTTTCTTTCACTGCCATCTTTAATTATTTACTTTTCATCCAAAAGGCAAGCTCACCTACTTAAATCTGCAGGAGATAAACAACACCAGTTGGCCACTGCATCCACGAATTCCAATTGCCACTGTCCCAAAAATGTTTAACCCAAATGCTAATAATCCCCGGGAGTGCCACTGTGATTCGGTAGGGTGGGTTTATGGTTTAATGTCCGTGAATGTTGCTTTATGATTATTGTTCACTGCATTAGGCAAGGCTCAGGGAAAAGAAAAGCACCAAAGGTCAGCAGCGAGACAGAAATGTCTGAGGAGTCCGAGCCCTCATGAAAATGATTGTGTCTGACCTTCCCCACCTCTCGGGATGGAGTGCTTAAGACAATGACTGGCAGATTTGTGACGGCTGTCTTTACCAATCACTTAAATATTTAGCCCATTCCTCACAGGGCTGGGAGCATGAAGCACCCAGGGACAGTCCGGGCGCTCAAGCGCACACGACGTGAACCTGAGCTGGTGCTGTGGTCATCTACAGCACACAGGACAGCATTTGCAATTAAACAAAAAACACAAAAAAAAACCCCATCCCCCCCCA